TGATCCAACTGCCTCGGCCTCCCAAAGTGCTGGGATTACAGGCTTGAGCCACCGCGCCCGGCCAATTTTTGTATTTTTAGTAGAAATGGGATTTCACTATGTTGGTCAGGCTGGTCTCGAATTCATGACCTCGTGATCTGCCCGCCTCGGGCTCCCAAAGTGCTGGGATTACAGGCGTGAGCCACTGCGCCAGCCAGCTCTTATTTTTCCCGTCAAATCACACTTAAGTATTTTGAGGCTAACATATCAACCAATTAACTTGCATTTAATCATCGGATTAAAGCAATATACTATAACTTTCGTCCTTTTGTAATTTTTCATTTTCAAACGCCCCTAGTGGCTAAACGATTTAACCTGTTTAGGAAATACCAGTTTCACAACTCTGTAATTTGGCTTCTGATGTGAGGGAGCTTGGAGCTAAATAAGTATGTGTCACTAAAACATTAACGATTTCCCATTAGCCCCACCATCCTTCGCCTCTAAGGTTATTTGGAATGTGTTTCTTTAATGAGATAATCATTTGCTAATGTAATCCCATCTAAGAAAATATAAATCATAACAAGTGGATCTGAAATAGATTCAGTATGAAAAACAAAGTTAAATGACAACTGTTCAAGTGTCAGTGGAGAACATTCTAAAACTCACAGAAACAAATGCCTAGGTCTGGGGCATCTGGCTTATTTTACAAAGTTAACAACTTTGCTTGACCGGCGGGAAGCAGAGAGGGGAAAGATAATGTCCCAAGTGAAAAGGCTGACGTCCAGAGAAGAAAACTAGAGCGGATAAACACGGGCACGCCCTACTCAAAGCTAGGCCTTTCCTCTGGACACCGTGATGCTTCTCAACGCTCCTACAACTTGTCAATGTACCTCAGAGGCTATTCTAGGCGGAGATTAAATTCGTCCTTGGCCCTTAATGTACTGGAAACAAGTTGGTCAGGCCAGGTGTCGAGCTGAGAAGGCACACAAGCCGTGGATTCCAGGTGTCGAGGTTGATAAAGGTAAATGAAGCGCCTCAGCAAAGGCACGGGAATTGGAGCACGTGGTGTAGTTCCTCCTTAGCAAAGCGTTCTCAGTGCCTCTCAGGTTAGACCCGCCACAGGGATGAGGGGGTTGCTGGTACTCCAGGTGCCTGGAGCACAGGGCCCAGAACTAAGAACCGACAATACAGATTCTTACGCCCTGCTTGGAGGCACTGCTCTGAGCTGGCATTAGAACTGACCCAAGCTGTACTAAGTATAAAGGCAAGGTAGTTATGACACTGTTGGCAGTAAAATTATACTCGGAATTCTTTCGCAGAAGTCGCTAGGGCCTCCCTAGCTCTGGGCCTCTTCTCCTCCAGGAGCTCCACTTTCATGGAAAGGCTTCCCTGTGAAACTGAAAACGCTCTGGTAAGGAGAAACGCGACCGGACTGCAATTCCCAGAAGCCGTCGCAGGCCCTCAGCATCCGGGATATTGGCAGCAAGGATCCCTGGGTGTCGTGGTCCCGCGCTTTGCCAGCAACCCTCTGCCGACGGTAAAATTCCAGCCGGACACAGAACCACAACTCCCAGCAACCCTTGCTGCCGTGTGGGGGGTCTTCACGTTCTCGTGGCGCGGCGCAGGCGCACTGGGTCCTCGGCGCGGACCGCGCAGACTGAATAATAAAAGGGGAGCGGCGAAGAGGCAGGAAGACAGGACCATGTCGAAGGGCCCCGGGCCCGGCGGCTCCGCAGCTTCCTCGGCGCCCCCGGCCGCTACCGCTCAGGTGCTGCAGGCACAGCCCGAGAAACCGCAGCACTACACGTACGTAGAGCCCCCCCCCGCCGCGCGCGCACGCCTGACGTCAGCGGCCAGCGTGAGTCACGCGCGCAGGGAGAGCGCGAGGCGGCCTCTTCCTCCCCCCCTTCCTCCTCCGGCCCGGCCCAGACCGGTTCCAACCTGCTAGGGCCGGTCCCAACTGCCTACAACTGCCACCAACCTCTGGTCGGGCTGTGGGGCGGGAAACTCGGTCCTGGCGGCCGAGTGGGGAAGGCGGGAGCTCGGGATGTAGAGTGCAGTCTTCCCAGGCCAGGCCTTCGAGGCCTAACTGTTCCTCAGACCATAAAACCACAGTAGTAGGCTCCTTTGGGGCAGTGAGAAGTCCAAGACACAACCGAGACGAGTTCCGTGGGCCCCAGCCCCAGAACCCACCTATGAATGATGATTAGCGTGAAGTCCTGTCAGGAGATTCCGTGCAATTTGCACAGGATGCCTTTTGTGTCCCCAAGGCTCGTAGGTTTTCCACGAGGGCCACCCTTGCTTGAATTCACAGTCGACGTAGATAAACATGCAAAGATGAAAACGTGTTGGTGCGTGCCCATGACCGTTTCCCTCGCGGGCTGTGCGGAGCCTGAGTCTGGGAGCCCGAAGGTGATGGGTTCCGAGTATGTCTGCAGGCTCAGCAGAAATGTGGCGTTAGAGGGAAGCCCAAATACTGACACTACAAGAGTCCAGCAGGATGGGAAAACCTCTTCCTGGAAGTCTGCATCTGTGTGCTTTTAGGTCGCTGTCTTCGTTTCCTTCAAGCCACCTTAAGCATTCCCTAGAGTTAGGTGATGGGGAAGAAAGATGAATAAGGGGCGGTTTCTCCTGTTAAGCAAAATGTTGCTTTCCATTTTCCCGATGCTCTGCGAATGCCTTTCATCCCCATGTGCTCCTGAGCGATGTGCATGTTTAAAAGGATCCCTGCCTGCGAGAGGTTTTGGAACCTGGGGGATTGAACAGCAGCTCTTAAATTGTTCAGTGAACGAAGAGCATAATCATCTGTTGGAGTGGAAAGAACTCAAAGTAGACAGGAGGAACTCTGGCTTGTTACAGAAGTAAGACCTTGGGAGACTGTTCAGCGATTGGGGAACATTGGTTATGGGAAGTGTATGGTTTCTTTGTGGGATTCTCTGTTGGCTGAAATAATTTAAGCTTCTTGACTACAGTCTGACATGTTAACTGTTCCTTCTATGATATGGACATTGCTTTCCTGGTCCTTTCTTTTTTTTTTTTTTTTTTTTTT